GTTATGAAAAAGCCATATGGTGGTATGATCCTTCTCAGACTAGCAAAGGTGTGGATTATTTCAAGATTAAGTGGAGGATCAAACAAGAGAGAGAAAAAATATTGCCGAGGCCAAAAGATGATCTCCAAAAATAGTGTGAAATCTGATTAGTATTTGAACAGGGGTCCACCAGGGAATTCACCAGGAGTCCACCAGAGTATCGGCTACTCTGGAAAGTAAAACATTTATAGATCCCAGAGGACAATGGCAAATAGTTTCTCTTTTGTTGCCAAAGCAACAACCACCCAACCCTGCACAGACGTGCCAGTCAAGCTTGACCTGAAGGAGACTTTTGCTAAAGCAGCCGTACTGCATGAATAGGGTTTGAGAGCCTGCGTTGATAATCAGGAGAGATTTCCTAACCCATTTCCCAATATTTCAGAAGATATTCAGTAATAGTGTCTGACTTGGCAGAAGCCGCTTTAGATATACAGCAGGCCAGTACTCTGCTTGACCTAGCCCCATTCAACCTTGGCTGGCAGATTATTAGTATGCCATTTTCCCAGGAAATAATGCAACTTTTGTCTGGAGAGGGCTTGTTACCAGAAATATAACATTCCAAATGTAGGCAATTAAACTGCTACGCCAGCATTGTGTCTGATTGCTGTAACTCCCCCCCCCCCGGGTTACTGAGTGTCCTCTTTCATGAGAAAGGAGCACCTGTTGCTATATGGATAAATAAGCATCAAGCATGCTGCAAGAACAGCATCTTGTGCACCTAAGGGCTTGGCCTCTTTTTAACTGAGAGGACCAGCACTTGGGCACCTGAGGGTTGAATGGAATCAATGGTGGGCTTCCGAATCTTTTCCTACCAGTTCTATGAGAGAGTGGTTTGCACGCATGCGTGCCTAACACGCGCAGCACTTAAAGACCGCCCTCGCTGTCAGCGCTGGTGAGCTGAACTGTTTCTTTAGCTCAGCTGAGGCGTGGCAACCTGCTCTGCCGCGTGAATCAGCTGAGCTAAAAATCAAGGGGATATAGGACAGGGAATGATGGGGGCAGGAGGGCAGGGCCAACCAGAGGTGGTTTGCCGGTTCTCTCAAAATTTCCGCTACCGGTTCGCCCGGACTGGTGTGAACCGGCTGAATACCACCTCTGAATGCAATGGAACACTTTCCTGCCCTAGAGGCAACAGAAACATCCGATATATCATGCAGAGAGCCAATTGCCCCTCATAAGATTTCCTTCGACAATAATTTTTTGAGAGCCTCTCTTTCCAGCAAAAGCTGGTTGGCTGCAATAGGGAAAGAGTTGCATTGGTTACAACATTTTTTTTTTGTGGCTGTGCTTTTCCTGCAAGTCTTCCACTGGGAGAAAAATGTTTCTGAATAAGTTTATGCCCACGCTTGCACTTAGCCTGAGTATGACTTAGACGCTCATATCCCTGGGGTTTAACCAAACACCTCTAAGCAACAAATGAATTGCAAAGGGGGCAATAGCACAACTTGATTCTCCAAGCCAAGATTTTCACCTGTGAAACCAAAGAGAGGACTGGGTGGTTTTGTTTGGTTTTCCCCACATAAGTGTAAACTTGAGCAACTCCCATTTCTCTTTTTTTTAGGCCTGGCAGCCTCTCGATGTCAAATCCTGCTTCCTGCCCCCTCATGCGCTCCCTTTCCTTCCCCCTCCCTGGCTTCCTCCCTCAGACGGGACACACAATAAGTGCAAATGTAAACATTTCTCATAATAAATAAATTAAATAAATAAACAAACCAGGCACAAAAAAAGTGCAGTGCATGTTTGTGCCAGCAGAGACCAGAAGAGGGCCACGTTCCCTATCCCAACCTAAGAAGCGAGCCTTCTCAAAAGGGAGGAAAGCCTCTGTGTGTGTGTGTGTGTGTGTGTGTGTGTGTGTGTGTGTGTGTGTTTCTGCAGAACAATTGGATGTGGAGAAGGTGAGGATGACGTACTGGGAAGAGACATGGGGCCTGGGAGGGAGTTGAGGCCTTCAGTCTTCCTGTTGTTGCTTCCGAGAAGAGATACAAGAGCAGAAAGGTGATGGAAATGGCTCGTTTCCAAGCTGTCCATTGGGACAATAGTTCCGTGCTGACTGTGGCCCCAACATGCATCAAGTCCATCTCAGAGACAGTCTAGTTAAGCACTCAGGATGTTGTGGTGGTGATGTACATCATCCAGTCAAGAGGCTGAGGTGGGACCTGCAGCCCTGCTGGCGCACCGTTGCCATTTCCATTGGTGGATGAAAGCACCGTTTCTTAGCCCATGCCACCTCTGGCTCTCTTCTCTTCATCCCTTGGGCATTGGTGGCCCATCAGGCCCAGCTGATCTTCTGCTGAATTCCCAAACCATTCGGGACTTTGGAGGAAGCAAAATGGAAGGAATTGGTGCCTTCCTCTGGGTGGAGCAAGTGGTGAGCTGTGGGGCCAGTGGCCGTCCTTGGGGAGGGTCCGTTTGGTCGCAGCCTCCACTCCAGCTGTCCAGCGTTGAATGCAGTGAGCCCTGATCGTAAGGTGAGACCCTGGACCTCCCTCCCCAACTGGTCAGAGAAAACGTGGGAACAGGAACTGAGGAGAGGAATGAGGTGTGCTGGCTCTCTTTCCAGAGATTATGAGATAATATAGATTTATATAGAGCTTTATAATTATTTATATAAATATCTGGGGAGAAGGTGGTGATGGTGCACGGTGGCCAAGAAGGGAGAAGGGAACTGTACAACCTGGGAAAGGAAACCCAAGCAGTGGAGATCACAAATTCGGTATGTCTGGAAGTCTCTGCACCTCCCCACTGCCTGAATTGTCCAGTTCGGCACTATCACAATCCGAGTCTTCATAGGCGGCAGGATCCTAGAAAGAAAGGAAGCAGGTGAAGAAAGGTGGAGCCAGAAGAGGGAGGGGGATGAAGGAAAGGAGGGAAAGGAAGAAGGGAGAAAGGGAGACACGAAAGGAAGGAAGGAGGGAAGGAAAGAAAGAAGGGAAAGGCAGGCAGGCTGGAAAGGAAGGAGGAAAGGAAAGAAGGAAGGAAGGAAACGAAACCTGGCAGAAAACCTTAAGTTACATTTGGCCATGGATTCCAATGGGAAGGTATGTCTTAAAAAGCAAACATATTATATTAAAGAGGCAAGTAAATCTGTTTTGGCCACTGGAGCATGCATATACACTACACCAGGGTCCCCAACCCCCAGGTCATGGCCTGTTTGAAACTGGGCTATGTGACCGATAGTCAAGTCCGTACAGGTGAAGCTCCACTTTTGCGAGTGGCAGGCCCTGCCTCGTGCGTAAAGCTCCACTCGCATGAGTGAGGGGGAGCACTTGAGCAGAGCAGAGGTCTGCAAATGAACACAAGGCCTTCAATGGAAGAAAAAGATTGGAAAGTAAACCACAAATGACTTATGCATGTTCTTTGCAGCTCTGAGGGGTAAGAACCAGATTCTCAAAGCCTCAGAATGAAAGCCAATAAATTCCTGTGAGTGCAGGCAGACAAGTTATGGCTACTGGTACAGGTTGAATGTGTAGCATAATAATAAAATGAGGTTGAACCAACTTGAAGATTTCTCTTCCGAAGCCCCTTCCTCCTAAATGGACACCACTGGTGGTAAGTCTGTGCTTGGGGTATGTGTGGGAGTCCTAGTCCTGAGAGAGAGAAGGGCTAATGTTTACTCAGTACCCACCTCTCCAGCATTCTGCTCAGCACTGAGTTGCCGTTTCACAAGCTGAATGGCGGCTTCCTTTTCGGACAACCCATCAGAGTTCCCCAGAATGTCGTCATCTGAGCGCTCGGCATCCAGGCGTTCATCTGTATTGGTACTGGGCACATCAGGGGTGCCGCCACTGTGGGAAGCTGTGGTGCCCTCACTGCCGGTGCCCTCCTCACCGTCCCCATCGGAGAAGTTCTCGGAGCTGAAGGTGGAAAGAGATTGCCGTTTGCTCCTAGCCTGAGGCCACCTAGGGAAGACAGCGAAAGAAGAGAAAAACTGCAGTCAGCCTGAAACAGAAGATAAGAAGAAGGCTGCACCCCGGGAGGAAACTGGGCTCCAGACGGAACCAGCGCACTTGGTAGCCAAGCTTTGAGAGATGCAGCAGCAAGACAAGAGGAAAGTGTCCCAGATTGACTCGAAACCCAACCTGCCTTTTCCCATCAAAGCACCCATCCCTAACTCCCTTGTTTTTCTTGACTTAAAATATGTCACACCTCCTTCTCCACCTAGGAACCTGAGATTATAAAACTGATCGTTCTGGAGAGCCATGAAGTTAGAGAGAATGTAGTTAGAGCAATAATGTCCCCATGGAAAGAGAAGAAACCGTGTGCTTCATTGATTACAGATCATGTCAAAATATGGAATGTCCTTTGGAAAATGGGAAATCCAGAATATCTTCACACAAAATTTAAGGCAAGAATCCACAGTTCAGACTATTGGCTCCAGGTCAGCAAAAAAAGGGAGTGTATTCTCTTGTTTTATATAACCTATACCGTATGCTGAATAATATATTGAGAGAAGCTGGGTTGGAAGACAGTAAGCATGATTTTATAATTGGAAGAAGAAAAATCAATAAATTGCTCTACAGCAATGATATTCCAGTGGAATCTGCAAATGATCTGGGGGCTCTAATAATGGAAGTTATACACTGAAAGAATGGGATAATATCAAGAAGACCAAGTTAATGATAACAGGTACAGCAATCAGATTTAGAACTGGCAATTTTATGAAAGCAGAAGTTGGACTTTGAAGAAGCAGGAGAGAAAATGCTTTTGGTGTTGGGGAAAATTGTTGAGAACACCATGGGTAGCCAAAACAAAGAAATGGATTATTGGGGGGGGGGGAATCAAACAAGTCACAAATGATCAAGCTCAAATCATAATAATATGCAAAGAGCTAGCTCTCTTGAATTCTGGAAACAGTAGAAGGAAAGATAACAGGAAGACGAGCAGCAAAGTGGACGGATTAAATTAGTTTCCATTGGCAACTGGATAACCTAAAAACCAGGCTGGAAAAAGATCACTCTGGAGAAAGTCTTTGTATGTGATCACCAAAAGCTGTCATTGACCGGATGACACATAAGTCAATCAAAGGGGTTGGGGTGGAGGCAGGAGATGCGGAAGATCTGTACCATCTTCTCTATACTCTCATTCACTCCTCACCAGGAAAAGAGGTTGAGTGAAGGCATAAGCTTTCCCCATCTTGGTGGTCAATCCAACATGCTGGACAGGCAGCAGTTGGGAAGGATACTCTATATCAGGGGTGTTAAACTTGCATTGTCATGTTGTCATGTGATATATCATGACTTCCCCCTCGCTAAAATGGGGGTTGGCATGGCCAGCGCATGACGCATCTGGCCCACGGGCTGCAAGTTTGACACCCCTGCTCCAGTGGTGGGATTCAGCCAGTTCGCACCTATTCGGGAGAACCGGTTGGTAACTTTCTAAGCAGTTTGGAGAACTGGTTGTTGGAAGAAATCTCATTTGTTTTTTTCCCACTTTATAGGGCTAATCCTGTAATGAAGGCAGGAAGGAAACTTTCTGGTGTTGTTTCTAGCCTAATCTTTATTGCCCTGATTACAGAAACTGCCTCTCCGGTTAACCCTTCTTACATTGTAACAGCTAAGGCGAAGCGTCCATCGACCTGAATGATGCTGTGTTGGCCACGTCCACCCAGTCACATGACCATTGAGCCCTGCCTACTCACCTGGTCATTTGGGCAGAGAACCGGTTGTTAAATTATTTGAATCCCACCACTGCCCTGCTCTATATTCTTACTTCATAATTAGAGGTTCATCAAAGAAGAAGCACATAACAATAAACAATCTCTTGCATATCCCTGTTTAGAACATAGAATAATACAGTTGGAAGGAATCTTGGGGGTCTTCTAGTCTAACCCCCTGTTCAAGCAGGAGACCCTATACCATTTCAGACAAATGATTGTCCAGTCTCTTTTTGAAAGCTTCCAGGGATGGAGCACTCACAACCTCTGACGGCAAGCTGTTGCACTGGTTGATTGCTCTCACTGTTAGGAAATTTCTCCTTAGTTCTAGGTTGTTTCTCTCCTTGGTTAGTTTCCATCCATTGTTTCTTGTCTTGCCTTTTGGTACTTTGGGAAATAGTTTGACCCCCTCATCTTTGTAGGAGCCCCTCAAATATTGCAATATTGCCATCATGTCTCCCCTAGTCCTTCTTTTCACCAGACTAGACATACCCAGTTCCTGCAACAGTTCTTTATATATTTTAGCTCCCAGCGCCCTAATCATTCTTATTGCTCTTTTTTGAACTCTTTCCTGAGTCTCAACATCTTTTTTATATTGTGGTGACCAGAACTGGATGCAGCATTCCAAGTATAGTCTTACTAAGGTTTTTAAAACAGTACTAGCACTTCACGTGATCTTGATTCCATTTGATATCCCTCTATTAATGCAGCCTAGGATTGCATTTTTTTTTTGGCTGTTGCCGCATATTGTTGGCTCATATTTAAGTGATTGTCTACTAGGATTCTAAGATCCCTCTCATAGTTACGGGCATTAATCAAGTTTCACCTAGTCTATACCTATACAGTTAGCTTTTCTTGCCTCTTACTTTTATCTATGTTCAATTTCATTTTGTTAGATAAGGCCCAGTTTTCAAGTCTGTCAAGATCTTTTTGGATCCTGAGCTTGTCTTCTGGGGTTGCTATTCCAGGCAGCTTAGTGTCATCTGCAAATTTGATGGGTTCTCCTCCTATTCCCTCATCTAGATCATTTATGAAGATATTGAAGAATTCTGTTCACCCCTTTTTTCATTCAACACTTTCCCATGCTAGCACTCAAAACCCTAAAAAATTGGCCCATTTCACCACTGCTGCCTACTCAACACTGCTAACTCAGAAGGAATCCCGAAGCATTTACAAATCTCCTTCTTGCAATGATTCTAAGTGAGCAATTTATTTTATTTCTTTGCAAACCACTTTTCTTCCATGATGAAGCTCAACAAGTTATCAAGCAGATTTACAATCCCACAAAGGTCTCCTCCATAGAGCAATACTGAGAAATCGGTAGTTTCATAATATTTCATGAGTTCCAGTAATTTTTACAGGTGGCGATTTTTATAACCATCATGACCATCACTTTATTTTTCTAATCCTCAAATCATTAAATTGTGCCACTGAAATTTGATGGAAATACTGACTTTTTCTTGGATATTTTCTAGGTATTGTCGAACTAAAGGAAAAAAGATTACCATTCCTCTTAAATCTCTGATCCACTCTCAAAACATAAATGAGAGGTGAACATTTTCCACTCCACTCATTTATCCCTCCAAATCCTTGGGGGCTGAGTCCCAAATCAGGCAACTACTCACCTTTGCCGGAGAGGGAGCTCAACTTCACTGTCCACTTCGCCCTCTTCTTCCTCTGAGGAGATACCACGTTTCTAAGTCAAGATAAATGAAATAAAAAAGAAATGGGGTCAGGATTTGTCAACTTTTCAAAATAGGTCAGACTGGAAACAGACGTAAGAAGGATTACAAGGTGGTCCTTCACTGTTCCAGGATATAATAACACAAGCTTGAAGCTGCCAGAGTTTCCATCTCTGCCATTTTACAACAAATAGAATCAGAGTGGGGTTATTTTGAGTTTCTTTCCCAGGCTTTTCCATTTCCCAAGACTGAGTTGTCTTTTATTTTACCTCAGCAGATCCAGTTTTCTGTATTCCTCTTGTAGCATTGCATTTTTAATAAAGGTGAATGTATCTAAACTAACTAAATCCCAATTACCAACTAAAAAATGACCTCTTTATCAACCCATTTGTTTTGCTCCGACTTCAAGACAAGCCCTGTTGAGAAATGATTGGTCCAACGAGAGGTTAATTATGGTGCCAAACAGGCCCACCTGTCTCCTATCTTGAACAGGTGATTTGGGTATTCAAGGTCTCTAAGCAGGGAGAGTTCAGGCAATGGTGCCTACAAATCAGTCTATGAACCTATTTCATATTGTGCATTTATGCTCCTAGTTGAGGAAAGGATTTCACTTCTATTTACCACCAGTTCACTGCACGCACGCATGCTCGCTTTGCATGCGCACCTTCCGCGCATGCACCCGGCCTTCCACGCATGTGTTTAATACCACCTCTGGAAAGGATGGTAGATTAGAACTGGATTTAGTCAGCCTCACAACTGCCTTAAAATAAATTGATCCAGAAACGAAATGTGGTTTTTAAGAAGTGTTCTAAAAAAACCCAAGTCTGAAATGGTTCTTCTCCTCTAGCTTGTTTCAAGTGGGTAGCTTTGGTTGCACTATAATGCTGCAGCCCCATAATTTTTCAGAATGGCTTGGCTTAAAGCAGGGGTGTCAAAGTCACAGGCCGCGGGCTGGATGCGCCCTGTGCTGGCCACACCCACGCCCAGTTTAGCGAAGGGGAAAAATGTCACAATACATCACGTGATGCCGCCAGTTTGACACCCCTGGCTTAAAGAATAGAGAATGAGTTCCATGACTGGAGGGAAGATTTGATTTTGTAGAACTTTATGAGTCTGTAGACATATCTGCTGCTCTGATGTTCAAAGATGAGAAGACAGGACGGGGAAGGTTGGGAGAACATCCTTTTGCCGTATGAAGGAGTAGCAAGAACTTGATAACTTTGAAAAGGGAGAGGGTTGCCATCACCCTCAGACTCTTCAGTTTCTAGACCAGCAAAAATAAACAAAATACACTGGGAGCATAAATGACAAGCCCAATAAAGAAATGAGGGAGAAAATAAAATCAAGAAAAAAAATAGAGAAGGAAGAGGGTGGGGTGGAATTACAGTTATGAATTGTAGTCTTTGGTAAATGTTGAGATGCTGGGAGAAACAGAAAAAAGACCTTGAAATGAAAAGGAAAGACAATGAGAAATGTGGATTTGAACTGTAAAGACTTTGAATTGTAAAATGACACAGACACCTGGTAACCTGTCTGTTTCCAGGATCATTTCATAGTGTATAATTTTACCTCTGCTCAGTCTGGCATTAGAGGATGTTAAGACCTTTATTCTTCACTAATCTCAGTTCTTCTCAAGATCTAAAAACAGCCATAAAGAGACTACTGAATATATAGCTGCATTCCACAAAACCCACGGTCTGTTTGGTGGCTGGTCCTGAGGTCTGGAACCTCTTCCAAGGGCAGCTATTCAGTCTACTTCTTTGGGGTCCTTTGGAGGCAGGAGAATATTCTGGGATTTTTTAGAAAGTTTTTCCTGCTCTGCAGTGTCGAGTCATGTTAAAATTACACACACACACACACACACACACACACACGTATGTATGTATGTATGTATGTATGTATGTATGTATGTATGTATGTATGTATGTATGTATGTATATATATATATATA